ACATCATTAAACTCTCTTCACAAATGCTATTCTGTCACGAGTTATTTCATGCAATGTTATCTTCCTTTCCTCCCTATTTACCTAATGACTTGCTGTTGTTATTTATACTACTTCGGTGTTGATTTATCCTACCACCATATGTTCACTCACTTTAGATTTGATGATAATGATCTTTTGTGGTCTATGCACTTCCATGGATTAATTATTGCTGAAGATTCAGATGTTTGTTTTTCAGCAATAAGAAGGCAATTTCTTTGTATTTCTTATCATTCGTAAATACAGCTTCTTTTGCACAAGGAGAGGCTTTTGTTTTAGAGGATCAATCTTTTAAAATACCACAGAACGACAGAGGAAATAAGGAGGGTGAAAAAAACTAATCTGTCAAACAGTCCCCATTTCTAAAACTTTTCTCTCCTAGTTCTGACTGCTAAATGTAACTGCTGTATAATTTCAGAGGTTATTTGAATAGATAGATTGCAGAATATGTGACAGGAAGAAAACATCTAAGCAGATCTGTATTATACTTGATGTTGAAAAGCAACTTCTCACTGATATCTGCTGCTGTACTTCCTGTATATGATGTACTATGTCATTCTAATACATTAGGAATCGTAAGCCAGCTGTCTGATCCAATGGTCAAAATGTGTTTTTGTGGGATGGAAATTCATAACTGATGATCTTCACTTCTCTTTTGTATTTTGCTTTCACTCCAGTTTGCAGAATAGAATGCTGAAAATCAAGATCTTGGCTCTAGAGAAAAGGATGCTCTTAATTCATTAATTCACTTCTGGGGGACACAGGAAAGCATTTGGCCAATGTTTGTTTTCATAATCCCATAAATCCTACCCTTTAGCAGAACAACACATCAGAGATGAAAGCCATAGAAAGCCATTTATTTCCTGATGTTCCTGTGGGAAGGGTGAGGACATGTGGTTTTGCCTGGTCGCATATTTCTGAAGAATTTGATTTGTATTGATAAATTTGGCTCTTTATTATGTTACCTGGGAATTCTGAATGCTCTGCAGTAGCCATCAGAACTGCAGTATTCTTGATGAGTCGCTTTCCTTCACTGACCTAGCATTAAACAAGCTGCCTTTTTGTACACCAGACTGCAGGCTTCGTCAGAATGTATATATTCATACCTTGATGTTGAAAACTGTACCCTCAGAACAGAGAGGAATCAAAGCTTCGAGGATTAATTGAGCAACTGCAACACCTGCCTCTGTTTTGTCTGCATAGAAAAGTTTACCAGGCAAATCCCATATTTAATCATGAAGTGGTTTAGATAATTTAGTTTTGATCCACCAGCTGAGCTGAAAAACATGGGGAAATATTTTGATTTCACCCAACTTAAATAAAAATATTTTTATTACCAAAAATGACTGTAAATGAAACATTTCAAACCCCAGCAATAAAATAGTAAAATTTCAGCTTTATTTTTATTTCACAGCATGCAATTAAGCTTGGAAAGGGAACCCTGTTTCAAATGGTTTAATTTTGCACGTGTTGAAAAGAAGATATTGAAAAATTAGAATTTTTAATGTGCATGTAATGTCTGAAGATGTTTATAAGTTCAGTGCAGATATCTGTTTGACCTATCTGAAGCTGTAATACTTGAGAGTTATATATTCTTTTTTTATTATTATTATTCAGATCCTCTTTAGCATAAATTTCATATGGACTGGAAGCTTTGATACCTCAAAAAATGTGGCAATAACCAACATAAATATTTTAGGGGAATAAAAGATCGGATAGCTTTATAATCCTCAAATAAAAAAAGATGGGAACCCATTCTTTCAGTCATGGCCTGTGATCCTGTGCTTTGTGCATTTACCTTATCATTATAGCTGACTGTAAGCGTGACTCGGTAAACTTCTGAGCATAATATAACTACTCCTATGTAAGTGGTTATTCAAATGTTTAAGTTGTTAGAATCAGTGTGTTTAACCTTTCTGATTTTATAATGTTTAGGTTATCTACTTGCAAGAGTGGGAAATGCTGGCTTTTCTGTGAGATGAAAGAATGTAACTTCAGAGCCCAGACAGTACATATCTCTGGAAGAGAAGGGGGAAGCCATCGATGTCTGTGCTACTGAGATCACTGACAGCAACCTCCCCCCAGCTCTTGTCAGAAGAGCATTTCTCAACAGTATCTGAGAAAATGCTATTTGTGCTGCACATTCTACTGCACAGAAACACATGTCTGCGAGCTTGCAAGATGGTAATGCTCCAGTGTGGATCTGGGCCTCAGGTCTTCATCAGTAAAACCAAACTGTTGGAAAACTGGAGGCTCTGCAGAGCAGTGCTTTGTCCCTCCAAAGCAAGTCACAAGTAGTGTGGTCTGGGAGCCAGATAAAGTTGGACTGGTGTTCTGGGATCAGCTGTAGTGGTTGTTTTTCTCCTTTTTAGTAGCTGGTGCAGTGCTGTGTTTTTTACTTTAGCCTGGGAACAGCTTTGATAACACCGATGTTTTTAGTTGTTGCTCAGTAATGCTTACTCTGACCAAGGACTTTCAGAGTCTCGTGCTCTGCCAGGGAGGAGGGGAAGCTGGGAGGAAGCAGAGACAGGACACCTGACCCAAACTAGCCAAAGGGGAATTCCATACCACAGCACATCATGCCCAGTATATAAACTGGGGGCAGATACCCAGAAGGGCTAGGTCGCTGCTTGGGTCTGTCTGGGTATTGGTCGGTGGGTGGTGAGCAATTGTATTCTCTTCCCTTGTTATTTCCCTTATCATTATTATTATTGGTGGTAGCAGCAGTGGTTTGTGTTATACCTTAGTTACTGGACTGCTCTTATCTCGACCCATGGGAGTTACATTCTTTTGATTCTTCTCCCCATCCCTCTAGGAGTGGGTGAAGGAAGAAGGGGAGGAGTGAGCGAGTGACTGCATGGTTCTGAGTTACCGGCTGGGCTTAAACAACAACAACTGAAAAGCCTGCACACACTAAATTTGCCTTGAGAAAATACCTTTATCATTGAAAAATATGTATACTCAAGCTTTTCTCATGATTCAAAGGAAAGGAATTTTCACAAATAGATGGTATTTTGGAGACTGGAACTTGTAGTATTTGTAGCATTATTTTTGTTAATGCTTTTGGAAAAAACGTCTGGATTAATCTTCCATAAAACACCAGCAGAAATTTCTGCCATAAAACCTACAGGAGAGTTCCCCATTCTTCTTGTTCTCCCAGACAGGGAATTGGGTGGAAAAGACCTTTACTTAGGAATGATAACCAGGATACTTATAAACATGAAAGTTCCTAAAAGAAGTATTAATGCAAATAATATTTTACATGTATTTTAAATCCAGGATGACATGTTTTTTACTTTTATACTGTTGCTATCATTTGTCAGATTTTTTTTTTCTCTTCCTCATTAACTAATTTAGATGGGTGTTGAAAGCTTTTTATAAAAGAAGCATGTGTCATATCACTTGGATGCTAATGCTGAATTTCTTCCAGAATTTAATATAATGACTGCAGTTACATCTCTGTTCATTACCTGAATAGATAACAAGCTTGCACTTCAGCCATCATAGCTCTTGCATATTTGAAACACATGTGTTGACAGTTGAAAGATATCTCGGAATATCCATACTAAGGAAAAAGCCTCATTGAAGAAGTGGGTGGTATCCTATTCTCTGAGGTGTTACAGGCATATAATCAATAGGTCATGGAGGAAGGAGGTCATTTTTATTTCCTAAATTATCTTGTTCATTTATATATGAATCAGACATTCATTAGCATTTAAATACTTTTTGACATTTAAGACACTCCCTTATTTCTATGAGATTTTGACACAATTACACTGAATATCTTTTTATAACCTGAATCTGGAAAATTGTTTTAAACATTTCTATATATTCTGTCAGATGTGGGTGAACTGTCAAGATTTAAAGGTTTGCTTTTATTTAAACACTCAGACCTACACGTTTTCAAGTTGCTTAAGCCCTGGTTTGGGCCTGAACAAGGCATTCGCTGTTAAATTTTTTAGGGGCAGTTGAGGAACCCTCTGGAGCAGATGATGTGAAACTTTCTGTAATACTGTCTGCTACAAGCAACTTCCAAACCCAGGCAGGCAAGGTGGAAAATACAATACTGTGTCTGCCTTAAAGGCTAGAAGCTGAAGGGAGAGTTTCAACTCCCCAGAGGTCAAAGGGGAAGCCTGCAGTAGACTACTTGAATGTTAAAACTTTTATTTCTAGATATGTCATCCCAGGTGTGAAACCACTCTTCATGCTGATTGAAATTTTACTGAGAGAGCTGACACCAATTATAGAAATCAAGTAAAGTTATGGAAAATAAAATGACAAGTTAAATCTTTGCATCTGGCCTTGAGTCTTATATTTTGGACCTGATCTCTATTCACAAAGTTTTCCTCAAATCAAGAAAGCTTCTTTGGGTGTCTTACTAGCACCTAAGCAGAGGTACTGTTGTGCCAGATGCACTCTTTATATCTGGGTTTCTAAATGAGTGAGAAATAACTAACCTTTTTAATGAGGGTCTGATATTTCTTCATTTTACTTCAGACTGTTGAATTACAAACTTCCTACAATCATGAGTATCTTGTTAAAGCTGTTAGCTAGATACATCTGAAGGCTTCTGTCAAGGTTGGCCTAAGATATCTAGCGCTTAGTTTACAAGGGTCTGTTATCACTTCTTCATGTTTAGGTTGTGTGCAGGGTGAGCAAAAAGAAGTGAAAGGAGGATACTTCTTTGTTTTGCAAGGAAGGACAAAGGAAACAGCTACAGCATAATAGACCTTGAAGAACATCAGCTGCACCATCTCTTGGGAAAGACTTCAGTACATTTCCTCTCATCAGCTACCCACTTCTCCCCCTCTGTCTCACTACAACTGTGTGAATAAAGGATTCTTTTTTCCCTGAAAGTTTTGAACATTGTAAAAACAAAGCACCTTTTGAGGCCAAGCCAAGACTCACTTTAGCTTCTTGGGGAATCAAGAGTTTTCTAAAAAAAAAAAAAGCCACTTTAGCTTAAATGAAACATTACATTTGTCAGGGAGTGAAACATTTTGGTTTTAAACCTTCTCCTGTTATAAAAGTGTCATAATGAAAAGCTTTTTGAATTCAAAAATAAATCAAAGCTTGCTTTTGTTTATTTCCAATCTCAGATCTACTTGTTTTTTTCTTTCAATCATGTTTTAATGCAGTTAAAAGTTTTGTAAGATCAGTGCACAGTTTTGAAACCTTCTTAGTGATCCCACAGTTGTGGTTTTCTTTGAAAACAATCCAACATATATACCACAGGTTGTGTTTACTCCTGGTCCACTCATCTGTACATCCACAGATACTGTTTGGGATTGATTTAGTAACTGCAATTATCTGCACCCCCTCTCACCTCCCTCCGCCTTTTGTTTTTCAAGGAAGAAAACTGCACCAAACCCTTTCATTTTCAGTACTTCAAAACAAAACCATGAAGTCTGCTTTCTAGAGTAATAAGGAACTTTTGGTCCATCTTCTGACCTTTCACTTCCAGTAGCTGAAGGTTTTTGATGCTGATGTTCCTGCAGTATCTTGGTGGATTTCTGCTCCATGGCCCTCTTTACACAGTGCCCCAGAACCAGCTGCCTACAGAACAGAGTGAGATTATCAAAGACAGCAACTGAATCCCATTAACTCATTTTTAAACCCCCCATATAACAACATAAATATAATGCAGACAGTGTAAAACAGTATTAAAGAATTACATTTTCAAAAGGGTTTAAATCTAAATAAATAAAAAACCTAGCCTTACTAAAATGAACAAAAGAACTGAATCTTCCTTGAATTCTCCATAAATGAGGATACCCGGCTTCCTTGCTTCTAGGCCCACTACCAGGATTTACTTGTTTCCTGAGGTTCAGATACATCCTGCCCTGCTTATTTTCTTCAGGTGTGCAGCTGTGCATGGCAGTGTGGGCTTTTCTATCATACTTATTAGTCTTATACAAAGCAGCTGTTACCTCTTTCTGAGCAGCAAGCAGATTGCCAGACAGCCTGAGGGCTAACCATCTGACATCCATATTTTGATCTGAATAGGTCTGTGACTCATGCTTTCAGGGGAATATAGTGGTAGGTAGGTTTTGCCTCCTTTTGTGCAGATGATAGACGAAATTTCATTTCCTACTGCAGCTGGACAACCAGTACAGTTGTATTTCTTCTATAAACACCCCTTCTCCCTACATATTTAGCTTCACTATTTCACTTACTGGTAATACATGCTCATGAAATACTGCACAAATAACATTTCTATTTAATAACTTAAAATGAAATCTATTACTCACATCTGGTTTAATTCAGGAATAAGAAAAAATGATGTGAAGGAACTTCTGGCGAAGGCTTTCAGTGTTTTTTAATATAATGCCTCATGATAAGAACCTCCTGGCTGAGGAGAAAGTTACATTATTATTTGTATTCTAGTTGTGTACAAGTACCCCAATGTGAACGTGCTAGACACTGTGGAGAGGTCATGAGTTTGCTGTTCTCCCAGACAGCTTACAGCCTTGGCAAGAAAAGCATGGTGGGAAGCAGGGCGGGAGAGTGAAGAGATGTGCTCAGGGACAGTCAGCAAAGCCAAGTATAAGTCCTCAGCTTTTGATTCTCCTGCACCATGTTGAATGCCTGAAAAAATCCTAGGAATCCTAGGGAAAAGGTGATTGAAATCTGTAGATAAAACCACCAGAAACAATCTTTTTGCTCTTAGAATTATAAAGGATATATTTTTCCTGCTCCCAGCTTTGTGCAAGCTCCTCAATTTGTAAATACTTCAAATCTGTCTCTCTAATTTATTCAGAAGTAATTTTTACACTTAAGAAACCCTTTCTTTACTGAAAGAATAAGAAATAATAATTATTATTTATGTTTAAGAAATAATAGTTATTACTTATGTTTAATAAATAATAAATCTTGTATTTAATAACTATATTATAACTAAATCTTTTGCCGTGTTCTCACCTGTATGCTACATACATTCCTTGGCCTGGAACCAGTCCTTTGTTGTCTGAATTATAGCATCTGTGTATTGTGATAAATTAGCATAAACAGTCCATATAAGGAAAATTCCACCAATTAATTGATTCTGAATAATTCTTTCTGACTAATGAGATATGCACGTTAAGGAAGAGATGCAGAACTGGGTTTGCCTTTCAACATGACCAACTTTATTCATCCAACTAAGCTGCTCAGAATCGCACACAGCTGTAGCATTGCCCCTTCAACACTAATATATGGAAAATGAAGAAATAAAGCAGCCTCATCAGTGCATCCCTAGTCTAAATTAGTACACGAGAAATAAATAGCCATAAACTAATCACTGTGAATAATAAGATACTTCAAAGCATTGTCAGGTCCATTTGATTTTTTTTTTTTTTTGCTTTTATATTGTGTTAATTAGGCAACATAAGGAAAATTTAATGATTACTTCTGTTTTAATACAAGTTCAAATTTACGCGTCCACCCTGCTTCTGAGTGTTTCTCACTCTCCCACTGTGTCAGAAGAATGAGTGGGCTTACTCAGTGTTAGTGTAGAAAAATACCCATTTATCTTCTTTTTTCCACATGCCAGCTGTACATTTGCAGTATGAGTAGTTCTTCTGAGCTTTCATGAAGCAGATATTTAGAAAACAGACACTACTCCCTGTCTCATCATCTTCCTTGAGCAGCCACCAATTCTCAGACCTTTTCTTGACTTATGATTAATATGTATGTTTAAAAATGCTGAATGCCTCCTTCTTCACCCTCTCAGCTGTAATTTCCAATACTTTTTCAATTTGAACAGTGGTTTTTAAGATGAAGTGGATATAGGATTGTGTAAAGCAGCAGAGTTTTAAAAGGTCAATGCATCAGAATGCACTTTTGCACCAAAACCCTGGAGTTCTTAGGTTTTCTTCTTCAGATTGAAGCCTTTATTTCTTTTTTCTTATTTCTTTTTCAGCCCAGCCAAAACGTTGATAGTGTGTAACTTTCTGCTGGATTCCCTGGAAAATATCTTTATGGTCAGTGTTCAATGAACTCAGTGCAGTAGCTGCATAAACAATTTTGTTGGTATGAATCTATGCATATAGGATGTTGTCCTTTGCTTAGCAGTAGCAGTCAATTTTTTCTCCTTCTTAGTAGCTGGGGCAGCGTTGTGTTTTGACTTTCAGCCTGGAAACAGAGCTGATTACACTGATGTTTTTAGTTGTTGCTAAGTAATGTTTATTCTGACCAAGGACTTTGTGAGTTTCATGCTCTGCCAGGGAGGAGGGGAAGCTGGGGAGGAAGCAGAGACAGGACACCTGACCCAAACTAGCCAAAGAGGTATTCCATACCACAGCACGTCATGCCCGGGGAGGTAACTGGGAGTTATCCAGAAGGGCACTCCCGCTCTTCTGGATTGGGCTTGTTTCGGTGGGTGGTATCATAGCCTCTTCCCTTGTTATTTCCCTTGTCATTATTATTATTGGTGGTAGAAGCATTGGTTTGTGTTATACCTTAGTTACTGGACTGTTCTTATCTCAACCTGGGGGAATTACATTCTTTTGATTCTCCTCCCCATCCCTCTGGGAGTAGGGAGGGGGTGGGGGAGGGAAGAAAGTGGCGGGGAGAGTAGAAACTGTGTGGCTGGCTGGGTTTAAACCATGACAGATGTGAAATGCAATAAACTACTGATACTCTGCTTAGGGAAAGAGGCTTAATGGTCCTCTACTGGGACTATTTCCTAAAAGAACAAGCTTCCTTAATGACAGTGCTAAACAGCTGATAAACCCAAAACATAACTATGGGCTATTAGTTAACAATTATGTTTCACCATCCACAAGTATAAAAGCTTACAGTTCAAAGACAGTGGAGAGGTCCACTGATTTTAGTGCAATTTACGTGCATCTCAGGATAATTGGATCTCCAAAAGAACTCAAGGAAACAGCACTGAATGTCTTTAAAATCAGGATGGGGGAAATGAATGTTTTAAAGAATGAAATATGAAAGAAAGTATAAACAGAAGTGCAAGTGATTCAGGAGTCAAAGGTTTGAGCCTAAGTTCCTTGATACTTCAGTGCTATTTACCATAAACTATTGATATGCCCTCAGCATCAGCGGTCTGCTTAGAGTACTGCATCTAGAAAGGGAGAAATAAGTGAACACTCTCATTTTGATCTTTGGAGAAAATGGGTTACTTAAAAAGAAATCGAAACCTCAGATATCACTGTTCAAGCTTCCTTTCTTAATTCTTATTTCTTCTCTTCCTTCTTTCAAACTATAGTTGTGAATTTGATAGAGCAAAATCACACACACCAAAAAAAGAAAATTCAGAATATGACCTCATGTGAGATATTTTTGATTTCTTTCTTGCTATTTAATGTCAGAGAATAATCTGTCATTCTATCACAGTGCAGCATATTCAGGAAGGTCCAATGAGTCCAGCTTTTGTCATCCTTAGCACTTGATCTATGTTAAAGATGATAACACTGGCAGTCTGTAATATATGACACTTGGTATTTTCTGAGAGAATGCTTTATATTTTCCTAGCAGCCTCTGTTATTAAACTCTTCATAACATTTACAGTAGTTCAGCTGCTGAAAAAAAAAATGTATGAGTCTTGTAAAGCCCTGGAAATGAATAAAAATGAAAACTGAAAAAAAAACAAAAGCAGCAGCTGTGAACTGAGGTCTTTGGGTTGCTAAGAACCCCCCAAAGCATGACATGCAGACATGCCAGAAAGGGCTTTTTTTCTTAGTTATATTGTATGGTTGATGCTGGAAAACAGCAATGAAGGGAACTGAGCTGAGTTGCGACTTGTTATCCTGTTGTGTATCCTACTAGCGCAGTGTATGAGCAGCTTCCTTCTTGGTTTTGCTTGGGAACATTCTGTACTTGTGAAGAAGCATTTGGTACAAGTTTTAGCAGCTACTCAATTGTATTTACCTATCATTCATGTTAAGCTGCCCCCCCCCCAACTCCCCATAGTAATCAGAAGAATGAAATGCCAGGATCCAGACAGAGACTTTTAATATTTTTCAGTCATCATAGCTATACACAAAGAGGGGCTTTATTAAGCTGATAGATAAGGCTAAAAACATGCCACCTAGCAGAATCGTATTCCTTTCACTGCTCGGCGCGATGCTCAGTGCTCTAAACTAGGTGATTAGCATATCGATGAGAAAAAAGGTAACAGTTAATGCAAAAGTCCTTACAGCCAAGTGGCAGCAACTGTGGGTTAGTGCCTTTTTTTCCATAGGATAGACACCATCTGAATATATGCATTGACATGTAAATACATTCATGACATTATTATAATGACATTCCATGACCGTTTATTTGTCTGGAAGCGCTGAACACAACATTTTGAATACTCATTAAAGAGATGTGACAGCTCTACCTCTTGCCTGGTAGTTAGAGCACTGTTCCTGCACTTGGAAAACTTGGTTTGAGCAAAGTAGATGATAGAAAATCCCTATGAAATTCTGAGACAGAATCCTCCCTTCATCAGGCTGTGCAGCAGAGCAAAACAGGTCTCTCTGAAGTACTCCTTAGTATAAAAATAAAAAATACTCACTGACAACGAGCAAAAGGTAATGACCCAATGACTTTGTCTTTTACTACAAACATGAGAAAAAGACTTTTTGGGGTTCCATTCCCTTTGCCAATTGATATTGCTGCAGCTGGAGCTTCCCACTCTGCTCTGAATACTTGCGCAGTTACAGAGGCAGTGGATTTCAATCTCATTCAAAGGAACTGAACCTGCAATTCTGCAGTGAATTTCTTTACTGTCCTTTTCAATAAAATAGGATGATTCCTGGCCATCTCTTTTATTTCTTTTTTTTTTTTTTTTTTT